TTTGATAGCTGGACTTGAAATGAAGACCAATTTCTTTGTTAACTTTATTGTTGATTGGTTTTAACTCGTCGAGTACCGGTTTTGTAGACACAATTATAGAACAATAGGTTGCGGTCACCGGTGACCGCTTGGTGTTTGACAGTTTAATGGGATTATTTATTTATTTATTAATTTATTTATCTTTAAATCACGTAGGTTAATATGTTATAATTTAACTCGTCGAGTACCGGTTTTGCAGACACAATTATAGAACAATAGGTTGCGGTCACCGGTGACCGCTTGGTATTTGACAGTTTAAGCCCCACAAAACCGTTGCAATGGTTTGACTGTGGGGTCGAGTCACTGTATTACAATTATATGTACCTACTTATAAATATTATACAGGAAACTTATATAGAATTTTTAGGTAATACGACTTTAATTTACATTTAAACCTATTTGAATTTGTTTCACTGTTTATGTCTGCCGGCAGACTATTCAACAGATATGATATGGGATGATTTTTATTGTTATGCCATTATTGCAATTAATGCGCGATCTGGTAATTTTATATTGCAGTAAAAATTCTTCAAATCCAACTCAAACTGAACAGACTTTAAACATACCAGCCTCTTTTTATTCCTTATAGGGATAAATTTAATGTGTACTATGTACCACGTATTTTTCATTAGCTATTATTGAGGGTGACCCAACTGGAAATGCAAACAAAAAATACGTACGTAAATGTATGCATTGCAAAATACTCTACCATTTTAGATGCAAACGCCAGAAAAGTTAAAAATAATTGCCCCACTACTGAGAAAAGTGAGTGCGTTTACAAACATACAAGTTTACATACACATGACACCCAGACCCGAAACAACAATTTGTGGATCACACAAAGTGTTGTTCCGTGCGGGAATCGAGCCCGCGACACGTTGCACGGCAGCTGGTTGCCTAGCCACCATACCAACCGTGCAGTCATAATTACAGTAGATTATCTCACTAATGTTTATGTTTACTAGCGCTTTAAGAATTTCTTATGCGAAATTCTTAGCCATAATATTTCGAATTATGCGCCCGCATCATAACATCGAAATCAAAGCACAAACGATTGTTTTCGAATACCGTTCCGATTTGATTTAGCTACTGTAACTATTCGAAAAGTAGTTAGTAGTAAGCATCAAATGTGTTTATTTATGGTTGTGATTTTCATATTTAATTAGAGTTATATTTAATTAGAGTTAAATCACGTTTCTAGGTTTAGAATGCTTTTGGCGCCCAACAGGGACTTCTCACAAATAAAGTATCATATTGGCTTATGCAAACGAAAGTGCTGTTAAATACTTTTGATTCAATTTTTCTTGCATGTGAATACATCATAAATATGCCTATTTTAAGATCATAAAACTACAAGGAAAAAATTCATACGAAAGACGGTAAAAGTGTAGGTTGATTCGACTAAGCACAGAAAACTTTAAACACTGCGACCGTTATTCAATATTTTTCTTCAAAAACTTTCAACTACCCACCATTGGAATTTTTACGACAAAAAATTCAGAATAATGTTAAAACAACACGTGTTCTATGAATTCTAAATTTGTGTTATGGAAAAAAAGTATGAATTGGTGATCCCATTCAATCTTTTTTTCGGTTTGTCGTTTTTGTTTTAGTTTTTAGTTGTATATGCATGTGTGGGTAGCTTTATTCGTCAAAACAGTGGATTGGGAGTCCAAAGCATTGTTTTGGTTCAAAAGAATCGTTCGAGTACCACACTTTGGTAGTAAAGCGCATTGTACAATCGGAAAAGCTTTTTGTCATCCATCAGTATGAAAATAATAAATATGGCTGACAATCCTTTTGTTGTTTACAACAAAAGATGAGATTCGATTTAAATCGGAAAACATCACTTTATTTCGTAATTATTCTCTGCAATGTGGGGCTCCGGGGCTCCGGCTCGACGTGCAGGAGAAGGAACTGGGTGGTTTTTAGTCAGTAAGAGTCTGACACTCCCTACCGCCTCACCCAGGCGGGAGCAGTTATACGATGATATTCCCCCCTTAAAAAAATCGTCTTAGCGAACCGGAGGAGGTACTTTCCAAAATTAAAACTTGGGTTTTGCTTGTTATTTATAGTACATAGACAAAAATATCGTATACAAATACTTCGGTTTAGTAAATACTTACGCAATGTGAAAACAGTACAAAAACGTTTCAGAAGATATGTATTTCAATTGTGCAAAACACTGTTCACTGTTTTTCAATTATCATCATAATATAACATCACGCCTTTTGTCCCCGAAGAGGTAGGCAAAGGTGCACATTACGGAACTTAATGCCACTGTACAATGTAACACCCACTTTTCACCATTTATGTTGTGAGTCCCGTATAATAGGAGGTGAGTCTATTGCAATATACCAGACACATTTCCAGGTTCCGTGCTATTACATAGACATAACATAACATCACGCCTTTTATCCCCGAAGGGGTAGGCAGAGGTGCACATTATGCCACTGTACAATGTAACACCCACTTTTCACTATTTATGTTATGAGTCCCACGTAATAGGGGGTGAGCCTATTGCCATATACCGGGCACAATTCCGGACTCCGTGCTAGTACTGAGATTTTTTTTAAAACCCAGTAATATTTTACCCGACTAGGGAATCGAATCCAAGACCCCTTACCCGGCAGTAGCACTTGTGACCGCTCGGCCAATGAGGCAGTGATTTCACTTATCAAAGTTAAATTATCAAAGGCACTAATATTTGAAACTAAACAACAACGACTGCATCTTATTACATTTTGGTGTTATATGAATAATATAGATACATATACAAACTACAAGACATTGCAGTAAGTACATATACGTAAACTATTATAACTATTATCCGCGGATTTAACTTTACCCTTTACAAGAGATCAATATTTTAATTTTTGTATGACATATAAACGTAATAGTCGTTTTACAGTCTCATGATAGTTGTGTGGGCGGATAAAGGGAAGCCATAGACAAGCCATAAATACAAAAATTATATCAAAATGAATATTTTTTTTGTATTCGTCTACCGCGAACAGAAAATATGATTGTCTACGGCTCCAATCTTATTTATCTGTGACTTGTAAAAAAGTGTGAGAACTACTTCCGCGCTTTTCTTGCGAAAGGTCAAAGTTGGACGTAAAAGGTTTCCAATGGTACACTTTTATAATATTTTGAAGTTAATTTGATAAGAAATTTTCACGAACTTTAACTTTGTGAGTGAAAACGGCTTTGGTGCAAGGTGAATAGTACAATTTGAATCATTCCTGACCAGGTTTTATGGGTTCTAATATGTATATCTGTTAAAATGTGCAACTGACAACTGTTTCTATGGTAAAGATTAAAGAAAATTATATTCTTGTATTGATTTCTCTCCCTAATAATGGTTACAAATGATAAGAACTTTTTTCTGTCTGAGTTTAACAATGAATCGGCTGCATCAAAATTGTCAATTGTACTTACAACAATACTACCACAGTCTATATGATTTTATACTGTGATACTACCTACAATATTACTTACTACAATATTATGTTCCCATACGAGACAGTAAAAATGAGTTTAAACAAACGTAACATAAATATAATTGAGAGATTCAGTATCCGTCGGAATATTTTGGATTATTGTTATACAATGTACACTTACTCGAATCTACAATGACATTGTCATACTCTTCCGATATTGGTAACTGACTGATTGTGTGACAGGCAGATAACACTGAAACTTCTACTCATAGACTAGTTTTCAACAAATTTACTAAATTTAAAGGAGCTCCTAAGCTAAGATAGGTGGCATTTAACGACATTTCCGTTATCATCAGCTTATGAATGACACCTTACAATACAAGTAAGGTGTTTTGGTGCTACGACACGCTAAGTTATTTTAAGTTAAGAGATGGCTTGGTGATTCAGCCTTTAGAGTACTAAGGGGGAATTATTCAAAATTCCTGTTATTGAGTACATAGACTTAGGCATGTGGGGACAGCATAGAATAGCGGTTGTCGTGAAGAGCGACAAGGAACTAAACATTATACAGTCCTTTTTTAAGGGGGTAAATCATCGAATGATTTCTCTCGCCTGGGTGAAGTGAAAGGGAGTGTCAGACTTTTACTAAGTAAAACCACAGCGTTCATACTCCTGCTTTGAACCGGGGCCACGGTAACCGGTTAAGTTGTCCGGATATATAGAGTCCTGGCAACTGTTCCGAGATCAACTTTGTACATAGCCTGGCTATTATGGCTAGGCTAACCTCTCTTATATGGAGGGGATCCTTGTTCAGCAGCGGATTGTCGCGGATGCTAATATTCGTATTAGTTGATGGTGCGCGGTGATCAGTGTAGATGTTGTAGTAGTGTCCGATTACCGAAACGAATTTGTTGGTACGATTGATTTTAAGTGAATAGTGAAGAAATAGGGCAGTTGAGTCTTGTTAAGCAGAAAAGTAGTTGTTTTATTCATAGGACATTTTCAAAAAAGAGGATAGTTACTCTACTTTCTAATCTCGGTATGATGTAAAAATATCTATAATAAAAATAGTGAAGGACATTATTTTTTTTTTAACTACATAAAGTAAGTAGTTTTTAATTTGTCTTATTTATAATACATTAATAATACACATCAGCATTTGTATTAGTGTTTGTATTAAACAATTGTGAACAGAAGATTTATTATCAATATCTATTTCTTTATAATATTTCCTGAACTCACAATAATTGAAAGATGGCCTATCAAAAATAATGAAGATAGTTTTACAAATAAGAAATCGATAAATGATACTCGAATCAAGTAAAAATCATGTTTTCCGATAGAAAGTACATACTTATCATAGATAAGTTTAAGTGAAAACCCTCACAATAAGTAAGTGGAAAAGAATCCAATAATAGATAAATCTATTAATAAGTTCCTGAACTTATGTGCCACTTCAAAAAATCACGAAAATTTTCGTAAAAAAGTTTAATACAATTCGATTTTTTTTGGACTTACCTTTGTAATTCAATCACTGCATAACAAAATGATAAAATAAAATGAAAACGAATCACTGTAACAATCACAGATCCATAGATAATAAACAAACTTGTTTACTGGCTGACACTTGGACTGGTTGTGATGTGGCCTGCTTCGTATGCGCGCCTTTTATACTCTGTGGCAGTTGACTCGCGCTCGTAGCGTACGCAAAAGAAGTAGCAAGAATGCAAGAATTTTTCTTTTTTTTTTCGATATTTGGTTAAAGAAATTCGGTTTAGTTGGTTATTATTTTTTAAAATTAATAATAAATGTTTGGTTTTATAATATAATTTTTACTTAATTTCATGTTTTAACATTTTTAGAGATGTCATAACTTAAGAAATGGTTTACAAATGTTAATGTATTTTTCAGCAATTTAAGATTAAATTGTTGTGTCATCAGAAAAATGTACGATGTTTTACAATACAGATGCTCGTCTTACTTGCAAGCCAATTAAAGTAAATGCTTTGCCTCTTTAGGCTTTTGTAATGAAGAAAGATATTTTTACGCATCGTAAACCGAAAATGTTGGAGAATTTTAGCTATCTTATTGTGGAAAAGGTAAAAATGTTTTTGACAGTCAACCAAGGCAAATAGAGATTGCCGCCAAAATATCTGCTTTCAAAGATTTGTGATTCCAAGATTAAACAATTTACTTTAAAAACGGTTTTTTCTGGTAAAGGAAATTATTATTACCGTCGCTATTGATACTAATTTAAAGTTACAAATCCTTTGTTTTAGTAATGAATTTGCGTTGGCATTATTTGCCCGACATTTCCCAGGAGATGGAGAGAAAAATGTTTTAAAGAAAATGCGTGTTTATCGTACTGAATCTTTCTTTAATCTAGCTAGGGTATCTATTTTTAAATTAGCACTATTGAATTAGTATTCAATAGTGCAAGTAGTAGGTAGTATACTCGTATCATTAATTCACTGTCTCGCAATCATTTTATGAAGACTTTTTTAATAAAAATATTAGATTACTTTATAATGAAAAGTCAAGACAATGTAAATAACATAATAAGACCAATTGAAATGATAAATTAGTTTTATATTACGCGTTGTTCGTATATTTTCATTATTAAGTGCTAAAGAAAATTCTTATTAGTTACGTATTATTAGATTTTAAAGCGTTTTGTTTGTTGTTGTTTGTAGACACAGTTCTAACCATGTATTTATTGTATGTTTAAACAACATTATTATTATTTCACCCCTCATATTTTAGATATATTTTGTTGTACACTTCTTATAAAACTACATATAACTAAATTAGTCTATCTCTGTGTCTATTACGTCTAGTTTCGTCCGCTCATTCTGACGGGATTGAGTATGTAACAAAATGAATACCGTCCAACTATCACATTTGTAATATTAGTATTGATATTACACAGTTACACACAGTAAGTAGGTACGGCACCATTTATTAGTGTTTATATAGTAAAACTATTTTTACCGACAGGATTTACGCAATAGTGATAAATAAGATAAGGAATGATCTATTTCTGGTTGCTATCCTAACTGACCAAGTTATTTAAATTAATATCAATGTTATGCACTTATACCTGAACTTTAACCCTATTTAAGATTGCCGTCTTAGTGGAATATGCGATTTCAACTTTATTTGTCTTGTAATAGAGGTGTGATTCGTTATTATTAAGGTATCTGTCATATCGTTTCGAGGGGGGCCTTCGTTTGTAATATCTACAAACAATTACTCAAATTAATTACAAGTAAAGTATTGTCTAGAATAGTCTCTTTGGAAAAGTGCTTCACACACACAGATCTCCTATTTCTTAAAGAGGCTGAGATTCTGAAAGAAGTTATTATAATAGCATTCGCTACTCGCGCTCTGTTTTATCCCCTCCTCGGTTCCTTTTGGTCGTAGCGTGAAGTTTTGTGGCCTACAGCCTTTCTTGAGAAATAGACTATCCAACACAAAAATGTGAATCATAAACAAAACTTTAAGAAAAGAGTGTTTTTAAAAAGCTCGCAACACACCTGTGTCTCCTCTGGTGTTGCGCTTGTCCATGGGCGGCGCTGATCGCTTACCATTAGGTGATACGTCTGCTCGTTTGCCTCCTATTCCATAAAAAAGTAAACATTTTGAAAATAATATATCAAGTAATATTCCATCCCCTTCATATCGCTATGGGAAGCTTCAGTGAACGCCCTCTGACATATTTAGGAGACACAAGATATTTAAGCTTAGATTAAGAAGCAAGTGAACTAAAGTTGAATTGAATTAAATTCAGAGAAGCAGTTTTAACTTTATTAATAGGCACAATATCAATCAGTTTTGTGGAAGTACTTACCTATTATTTTAGTGGCGTTCTCTAACATACGATGAAGTATGAATAACAAGAATTAACATACATATGTAGTTATATGAATGTAATAGTGTGGGCCGATGTTATTACAATATCACATTTGAATATTCGCCGACGATTTCGGTTTTATTCATGCAAGTTCATTAGCGTGTGTTATTTGAATTGCATTTTTAATGTGTTATATAAATATTATGGGATTTCAACGCGTTTTCAGAATTATTTTCTTGTATCCAAAAGTTTCTTACACATCTACCACTCTACAGATTATCTTGTATTTCACATTTATTGAAACATAACTAAAATGGTCTTAAAAACTTCTTCAGAAAAATAATATATACGCTTCGGATTTTTTTTTTGCTGACCGTTCTTGGCTAGTGCGACCAACTGTTGAATTGCATTAGGACATTCTGTGCTCGATCGTAGGACGAAACGTCTCTGTTTTCTCTGTTATTTCATATTCATTGGTTTGTTTCACAAAATTATGACCTCTTATATCCCATTGGTATCGGAAACCTTTATTTTTAACAAGTTTAAAACCTCCTTTCTTCCGCACCTTTGTTGTATTTGCTTCCATTTTCTTTTTTTCTGTGGCGTGTTGATATTTGAATTTGGAATTGTTCTTTTTAGTTATATTTTTGTATTAAAAAAAAACTATTTTGTTTTCTATTTTAACTGTTTTGATATTATTATGATAGCGATTTGATTGCTATCGGGAAATTTTATGTAAAGTAAATTGAAAGCTCTTGCTTTGCCGTTTCCCGCCATTTTATTGGAAGATGCTATTTTCGTTCTATATAACCTTTTAGGTTATTCTTTTTAGCTTTCGTCCGAGGAAATAGATATTTATTATTTGGGTTGAGGGTGCGTTTGAATAATTGGTGAAGTAGGAAGAGAATCGCAAATGTGACAAATGACCGCATCACTGTAATAATTGCTGTTCATCTATTCTTCACACCAAATTAAGCAAAGTTACGTCGAGAAATTCAATGAACTGATTTTTGGAAAATAATAATTCATCATCTTCTTTTACCCCATATTTCGTATGTTTATGCTCTTCAACGGTTGCTTTAATGTACTTACCCCTAAACCTGAGCTTTTGATGATGTTTCGGCTATGATAATTGGTTAAATATTAACAAAATATACATAACATCGCGCCTTTTACTTTCGAAGAGGTAGTCAGAGGTGCACATTATGCCACTGTACAATGTAAAACTCACTTTTCACTATTTATTTTATGAGTCCCATGTAATAGAAGGTGAGCCTATTGTCATATACCGGGCACAATTCCAGACTCCGTGCTACTACTGAGATTTTTTTTAAAAACCCAGTAATACTTTGCCCGACCCGGGAATCGAACCCGAGACGCCTTGCGCGGCAGTCGCACTTGCGACCACTCGGCCAACGAGGCAGTCAAATATTAACAACGCTACGCAAAAGCAAATGAGTTCTGGCTTTAGCTGATAAAAGCCTAAATAGCAGCACAGTCAATTCAATTCACAAAACATAGTACTTATAAATTTATAAGCACCCTCATTATAACTCATAGTTACCCAAAGCGGGGTGTCGGGGGTGTTAGTTTCGTCCCTACAAACCACTTCAGGAAATAAAGCTCTTGGATTTATACAAAGACTAAATTCCAATAACAACGAAACAGACATTTCAAACACTATTTACATTATATAAAATTACAAATAATTTGTGATTAGATTGCCTCAGTATTGAAGGCTTTCAAAGTTTGTCTCTGCCTCCGTTATAATAACAATATTTCAAATATCTTAAAGCCCACAGACAAAGTTCATGAAACTGGCAACTCCGTAGATAAGTCTTTTTTACAAAAATTATCAAGTTCAAACAAAAAATGACAAAGTTTTACGTTTAATAAATGTTATTATTGTATTACATAATTTTTTGCTTTAGTTGTTGTTAGGTACTTTACCTACTTTGCTGAATTGGAATATTTCATGTTATGTGGGTCGATATTATACTGATATCTTTGGATATTTTTGATTACTGTTGGTCCTTTATGAGGATTGTTTTATCTTATTTTATTCTATCTGTCATTTGACAAACGTACAGCCTCTTATTTTTAAGTTTTCTTGATTTATTGATTTTGTCGACATTTGGCCACTATCTCCCCTGATGGTAAGCGATGATGCGGCCTACGATGGAGTACACCTGCCCATAAACAACCTATTCACTAGGGTCCAACCCAGTGAGGTCACCAGAGGCCGAATTACACCCTCCCCCCTTCCCCAATCTCCCCAATCCCTGAACCCCCAATAATCCTCAAATTCGTAATCTCCAACAGGCCGGTAACGCACTTGTAACGCCTCTGGTATTCCAAATGTTCATGGGCGACGCCGATTGCTCACCATCAGGTGATCCGTCTGATCGTTTACCGGCTTATACTATAAAAAACAATAGCCTTGCGAGTACGCAAGAGATAGAGGAGCTTTATGTTAAAATTCTATAAGAAATTCTATCTAGTTATTGAGACTGCCTGTTTAAGAACAAAAGGTGCATCTAATGTTAATGAATCAAGAATGAGATAAAAATTGTATGGTAACATCGTACTATTGTGTACAAACAACATGTGTTTACCGTGATTGTGGTTGTTGCGCCGACATAACTGGCATAGTGAGCACATCCTCCCTCGTTTGTTACACCTCGTGCTGCTTCACTCAGGCTGATGGAAAATAAAGAAGTTCTTGGAATTACAGTCCATTCATACACATTGCGCCCTAGACGGACATATAGTGGCCA